TCAACATTACCAGTCCATATGATTATCGATCTGCTGATGAATGACAAACAATCGCAAATGTGTGTGATGATAGAATGAGGTGAGAATCATTCACAGGCGAAGGAGGAGAGAGGGAGAATAGACAAAGGAGAGGGAAGAAGACAACAGCCCACTTCTACTTCGGGTTCCTCCTCCTCCTCGCCACCTCATCTATCAATAGACTGAATTCAATGTCTGAAGTTCTTCCTCAACGGTGCCACGTGGCACGTCAATCTGTCTACATCAGCAAATGGAGAGTATCGTCATCAACCAGGTACGTATCCTCSATAACCACAGTCTTGATCCCCTTCCGAAGTGACGAAGAATCAGAACAGCCTCATCAATCTCGCAGCCCRCCACGTCATCAATCATATACAGGTGGCAGCGGCCACATCAGAAACGGCGCGTGGCAACTGCCACGTCAGCATGCCCAGAAGACCATCRCCAGCCAGCACCKTGCCAGCCAGSAGCGCCTTGCCRTCCTCCTCTGCCAGCATAGAGCCGGCGTCAAGCCAATGTCGCAATGTCGCAGCATAGCAACAGCGTCAAAGTCCACGCGTGAAGTCAGCATTCACGCAAGACTGAATGTTCTCCAGCCAGGAAGTCAACTCTTAAATAGCGTGGATGCGGGGTCTGGACCCCGGGTGCGGAAGTACTGCACCGTCCAGATCTCGATGTGAARGAGGGCCYAGATTGGCCAGAAACTGTATTCCTCCCGCCCTGAATGCTGTYTGGGTACCTGCACACAACAAGTGAATGTATCCGACCATAGGCCTGGGCGCGGTACCTTTGACTCTACAGTTGACTTTGACTGTTGAATTTCCTTTGTGCTGCGTTCGGTCACACAGCCTCCTCGACAGACTCAGGCTGGGCATGTCTCGGTCACATAGCCCTGCACAGACAACTGAGTCTGTGCTTTACCGGGGGCAACGTTCTGAGCCCCGGTCTGCTGCTGAACAGGGTTACTTCATTCCTGCCGACCCAAATTTCGAGTTCCATCGCAGAAACATTTAAGATTTCAACCCACGTTCATAAGCAGAGACAATATCAAGAACAGATTCGAGGAGTTCTCTTTTACTAAACCATCTGTCCTCAGATGGTTTCTGACTCTTAAAACGAACCTTGAATTGCTTCTGGGGTCGTCCTCGTGCACCTGTAGAGAAGAACCCTTGTTCTATAATTCGGTCCACTTCATATCCACCATCCATATCTGGCGGTATCGTAGATGGTCTATGAGGGAATTCATCTCCTTCTACATAAGGTAGCAACTTAGACGCATGAAAGACAGAATAGGTCCTGAGATGAGGGGGTATATCAATTATGTAGGACGGTCCCTCTGCATCTCCAATCACTTTAAGAACTTCCCAGGGTCCAAAATAGACAGGCAGAAGTTTCTGAGAGACATTTTCTTCTAGTGAAAACTCTTTAGACTTGACCGAGACCAAATCACCTTCTCTGAACGTTGATGGTCGTCGATGCTTATTAGCTTGTTCGATCATTCGGTCCTGAACTTTCTTTAAGTTCTCCTTTACCTTTTTAATGTCTTCTTGAAACAATACTGCGTATTCGCGGGTCCCTGGAGGTAACCTAAGAAACTGGTCCCTCGTCAATACATCAATGGGACGCTTAGGTTTCCACCCTTTATGCAGTGCGTTAGGTGTTCGTCCTGTAGAGGTATGAACACTACTATTATATGCACTTGCTATCTTAGGTAAGTTCTCATCCCAATCTATTTGATCGGGTCTTACATACATGCGCAGAAGCTGTTGGCACAAACAGTTCATTTGTTCACTCTGCCCATTCGTTTCAGGGTGTCTACCTGACGACATGGTCAGACGCGTACCGTATGCCTCCATCAACTTTAGCCATGCCATACTTGTGAACCGGGTATCTCTATCAGATACAATGGATAAAGGGAAACCATATTCAGTCACCCATCGCATCTGAAACTTTTGGATCACAAGTTCCGTTCGGGCTTTTTTGGGTAAGGGAATGAAATAACATAGTTAGAGAAACGATCCACAATTACCATTACCTAACTATTGCCATTTCGACTTTTGGTGAGGCTCATAAAATCCATAGAGATCGACTCACCTGGCTCGCTTGGAATTGGTAACGGTCTGAGAAGACCAAGTGGATTCTCATGTGAGGGTTTGTTTCTCTGACACACAAGACAAGTACGAAGATACGTTAGTACATCCTCTTTCAATCCCTTCCATTCAAAGCGTTATCTAACTTCAGCGTAGGTTTTCTTGAAACCAAAATGTCCTTCGGCGTCGTGACATTCCCCAATAATCAGACTTTTGATTTATTCTTGGTGAGGAATACACAATCGTTGTTCAGTTTGGTCTAGCAAGAAAAGCAAACCATCAGTTATCTTATAGTTGGGAAGTAGACTCGGGTCTTTCGCAAGTACATCCATGATAGGTTTCCATATTGGGTCATTAACATATCCTTGGCGAATTCTATCTTTCAGATCATTCCCAACATCTAGGTAAGAGACAATGGCACCAAAGAAATCACATCTTCTAGACAATGCATCTGCAACCACGTTAGACTTACCTTTGATGTCTAAGGCACAGACTAACGCATACAATTCCCTTTCGTAGGTAGAATTGGCAACCTTTTCAGATGGCAATCGTGCAGACATAAACTCAATCGGTCTGTAACCATTGCCGTCGTTTTGTTGAAGCACTGCGCCAATCCCATACTGACTTGCATCAGTGGTGACAACAAAGGGAAGAGATGGATCAACAATTTTCAGAACAGGGTAGTGAGTCAGAGCGTACGTTACCTTTTTGAATGAGGACTCACAATCCTTGTCCCACAACCATATTGTTCCTTTCTTTAGCAATCTTTTCATTGGTGCAGCGAGCAATGAGAAGTTCCTGACAAACTTCCTATAATAGCTTGCCAAGCCAAGAAATGATCGTAACTCAGTTACAGACTTAGGTTGCGGCCAGTCTCTAATTGTCGATATTCTCTTTTCTTCAGGCCTAAGGCCATCTTGGTTCACTATATGTCCTAAGTATAAAATTTCAGACTTAGCGAACTCAGACTTCTTCGGGTTGATTTTGAAGTTGCCTTCTCGCAACTTACTCAAAACCAGACGAAGATGCTTCTCGTGTTCTTCTAATGTTTTGCTATATACGAGAATGTCATCCAGATAGACGATGACGAACTGGTCCAACCATTGACGAAATAACTCGTTCATTGACCGTTGGAATGTAGCAGGAGCATTAGTCAATCCGAAGGGCATTACCATAAACTCGTAATGGTCATACTTGGTCCGGAAAGCAGTCTTGTGTTTATCCGCGGGCTCCACCTCGATCTGATGGTACCCAGACTTCAGATCAATTTTACTGAAGTACTTGCATCCATGTAGTTGGTCAAGTAAATCGTCGATGCGAGGGAGTGGTTCGGCATTCTTGACAGTGACGGCATTCAACCCTCGATAGTCAATACATAGACGTAATTTACCTTCCTTTTTGGGCACAAACAAGACAGGTGCTCCATAAGGAGATGAACTAGGGCGAATCCATCCCTTGTCAGTAAGGTCCTGCAATTGCTTCTTTAACTCCTCAAGTTCCCTGGAAGACATTCGATAGATAGGGCCCTTGGGAATTTTACTGCCCGGAATAATCTCAATAGTATGCTTTATAGTACGTTCAGTAATTCCGGTGGGCTCTTTCTGCAGATCCTTATATTCGGAGAGAAGACTTTCAATCGTCGAAGGACAGGAAGAAGAAGACTCACCGRCTTTCTTTACCAGTACCAACATGACTTCCTGTTCCAACTTTTTCTTAGAAACCATCGAACGGAAATCTAGATAACTCATACAACAAAAGGATAGACTTGAGTCAGAGCCAGACTTGTGATATAATTTAATTGGTTTCATTTCTGATTGCGCATCTTTGAGTTGCACAATCTTGTTTTTGAAATCAATGTCCGGGTTGGCTTCTTCGTGCCAATCCATACCCAGAATGATATCAAAAGGTAAATTCTTTTCTATGAGGAAGGATAGTTCATGCACAATCTTCTTTCCTTCSCTCGTTCGRAACTGACACTTAATACGATCAACACACTGAGAGACAGTGATCGTACTCTTGTCTGCTAACATAGACGTTATAGGTCGAGACAAGTCTTTTACCTTCATGCCGAGATGCAACTTACGGATTGCCTTCTCGGAGATGTAGGATCTCGTTGATCCTGGGTCTAACATCGCACCAACTCGTGTTCGTGCGATCTCAACATCTGCAAACAACAACTCGCCCTTAGTCTTCGCCTTTCGAGCCCATGAGCCACGTAATGCTAGCAATTTGTTACCTAGCTCATCAAGGGAGTCATCCAGAGAGACAAAACATAAGACAATATCAGGGCGGTCTGGATGATGGGCTAAGGAAGAATCATCCTCTGCCAATTGAGAAGAAGGGTAGGAAGGTATCGTAGGCGCCTTACCTGTCTGTTCATTCTTACCCTTAATCTCAGTAGGAACAGATGCTACTCCTACTGGCTGTTCGCTTTTGGGTTCCGGATCTGAGGGCAGTAGGCGATCACATGTCCCGCTGTGCCGCACTTGAGACATTGCGCATTGTCCATGCGCTCCTGCCAAGTCTTTCTAGTCATACCCATTTCAACCCATGGCTTCCCATCAGCAATGACAGGGTGCCATGGAAACGCTCTTTGTTTCTTCCCTCCTTTCCTGGGTGGTCCTCCCTTATTGGCCACAACAGCAGTGACTTCCCCCTTCTCGGAGTCGTTGTTGTTATCATTCTCCTCGTTAGGCCACTTTTCCACTGTGTCGTCATCAAAGACGACAAGGGTGTGGTCCTGACGCTTTTGTCGCCAGAGAACTCGTTTCCCATTGTACTGTCTTCCTCCTCCTCCTCCAGACTTTACTACCGCTGCATAGGAATTCTTGACTTGAGAAGTCATCTGTTCCCTTTGCAAGGCAAGGTCACGAAATTGCCTGTAGTTGTACTTACCGGATTTTGCTTCAGTGACTAAGTGTCCCCGGATGGGCTCAGGCAACGCGCGGGAATAGATGTACAACACTTGGCTGTCCTGCAAGTCCAATCCAGGAACCTGCAGCAATCGGTCAACTTCTCGGGACAAAGCCTCAACTGACGTCCAATGGTTTTGACCAATTGACGTCAACTGGTCAAAGGCCTTGTCGGTCGTCGTCTTGTCAAGGAAACGGTCCCTGGTTTTCGCCAAGAACTGTTTCAGCGTCAATGTCTTTGCCCACTCACCGTTATCTTCGAAACCCGGCGCATTGGCCTCGGCCAACACCCATTGCTTGGCCTCACCACCCATGCAAGAAGTGGTGAACGCGACTTGGGACTCCGGCTCGACCGGTGCGGTACTCACATACGTCTGGATTTCTGCAATCCACAGCAACAAACTTTCTTCTTTCTTGTTGCAAAACGTAAACGGCAACTTCATCTTCACCTTTTCTTTCTTCTTCGGTTTTTCGGGTTCAACGCTTGTCTTTTCTGGAGTTTCTTTAGGAGTAGACTTAGAAGAATGAGAAGCGTGAGGAGTGGATGGTTGGCTTGATCCATTTCCATTGGATCCACTTCCATTTCCATTTGTCTTTATCACGGGACCAGCAGACTTCATTGCGTCCCCCATCAACTTCTTTACTTCTTTCTTCTCCTTCTTCTCTTCTTGTTCTTTTTCTCCCCGAATCTGATTCTTACCTTTCACTATATTAGCAATTGTTCTCAATCTAACAGTGATTTCATCCAACTGATTTTGCTGTCTATCAATCTTCTCCTCTAGAAAGGTAAGATATGTCACAATATGAGCCAACGTTTGTGACATGTCAGTCTGTTCACCGACTTCTGTTCCTATGACTTGTCTGATCTCTTTAACCTTTTGTCCCCTTCGCTGTTCCTGTTCTCTTCTTCTGACTAATTCTTCCTTCTTTCTTTCTTCGGCAGCCAGAGTATCTATGAGCTGTTGGATGTTAGCATCAATCGTTTCCTCACTTACTTCTGGTTTCACCTCCCCTTTACGAGTAGCTTCCATAATCTCTTCCAGTTGCTTCAAAGCAAGCTGGTCTAGAGCATGTCGCCCCTGTGCAATCAGTTTGGAGGCCTCTGTACCGGCTGCCACAACCTCCACAGTCGTGATAGACTTCTTCAGGCGGTCTTTAACGCCCTGAAGATCAAAATTATCACGGATGTGTTGCTCAGTATCCGGTCCAGACAGCTGTACCTCAATCAGAAACTGACTCCACAAAGCCAACAGTTCTTCTCTCTTCTTATCAGCCTGTCCCCTTGTCCTCGGTTCAGATGGTCCTTCCCCAACGGAAAGTGCAATTGGAATAGGGAACAAGAAAGTGGTCGCAAATCTCGTCAAGATAGACTGTTGCAAAGATTTCCAGAAGTAAGACATTTTGGGAGAACAAAAACAGGAAAATTCGTTGGCCAGATTATCCTACCGCAAAATAAACAATCAGCGCACTGTTCTACCGCAAGAGACAATAATTTCACGGTCACCTGTCTCAACACTCTGTCTGAGTCAAAAATAATAATAATAATAAGGAACAGAAGTTTTCTAATTTCTATTTGCTGTTCTGTTTTCAATGTGATGACATCCTAGTCTATCTCAGGTACCGCAACTCCAGTCCAGCATGATCAACAACAAACACAAGTGAGTACACAGGTACACAACCCAGGCAGACAACAGGTAAGTCCGCCAACAAAAATCAATCAATAGTTAGCGTTTTCCCCTTCTTGCTGTTTCGTCCTTCTTTGTCCTGTGTGACCAGCACACAATCTGACGTTCGGCACCACAGCCACGTCAGTCTTCTTGCCGTGCCGCTTCAGTCATCAGAATGCTGTCCTCACTTAGGCACGATCATGCCTGCCACGTGTCACCCCTGGCCTGCCAACTCAGCAACTCGATGAGTATGCCAGGTCAGCAGGTCTAATCAATATCATCAATGGGGTGCAC